AGGTCTCCATTTGTGCTGCATTTTATATCTTAGTAAAAACATACAAACCAGTAATGATTAAAAATCACACAGTGAACAAAGCATCTGAAATATGGAGGTTGTAGTTAGAATAAGACAGAGCAGCTAAAAATCTTTTAAGACTTTGATATTTGTCACTCCTTTTCAACATGGAAAGGTTAAACTGTGGATTATAATAATGTAATTTTCCTTTTATAGGAGCTGTTATTATAGCCTGTTACTGTTAAGCTATATTATACCTATACAATTTAAACTTACCAATAAAAGATTATTTCATTTCTTGTCTTCAAAAGATGTTCCCCATTTTAAAAATTCACATTTTGGGAATATGTATGTTTTTAGTCCTGGTTCTCAGTGGATGGACTTTCCTTAATTTTCCTAATTATTCTGGTTTATGCTGACTTTTCTGTCTTTTCTGTGTATAGAATATGATTTTTTGCCATCTCCCTTCTTTCCTTTACTGGTGTTTCAGAATTGCTATGTATCTCCTGGCTTGATTATCAGTACATTAGAAAAGCAGGAAGTCTTTTAACTTTTTCAGTTTGTTTTAATGTAAATTGTAAGTAAGCTGCCCTGAATCATTTTCTAATTTTTATTTTTACAGTTTTATATTGTCATTTCCTTTTCTAGATCCAAGAAAACATGTCACGAGGAAATACAGTTTTTTAAAGTATGACTTCAAGCCACATATTCAAAATTAGGCATTTGAATACCTTTAAGAAGAAATTACTCTTACAATAGGTTTTTTAAAAAGCCTATTTTTTTTTTTTTGCTTACACTACAAATTATTTGTTATGATTAAGCTACTTCCATTTAGCAGATAGTACTAATTCCAAGAGCCCACAGAATAGTTACATTCTCTCTCCTGCCTCAAAGACAAAAAATTATTTTGTAGCAAAGAGATACTATTTTTACCTAGGAATGTGGTTTTATGTTTCTGGCTTTAATTTCACAATTTTAAAACAAACTATTCGTGTCCTTTAACTCAGGATTTTTTTCTTTCTTTTCAAGAAAATAACTTAGGTATTTTGCCTAGGATCAGAATGTATCAGATTGATACTCTTTAATCAGTGCACTTTTTAAAACCAAAGACTCACTTTGCAGTTGAAGTTATTTTTTCTTATTATTGTGATCTCATATTTATTTAAGACGAACAGTTGTCATGTGAAAACTTTAGTTACAACAGTAGAAAATAGAACAGATCTAGCAAACATGACTTAAGTAAATTTTCATGCTAAAATAAGCTTATCTTTTCCAGATTGTTTGCCTACTACAGTTAGTTTTGCTTCAGAATATAAAAGTTGATGAACAAAGGGAGGGCTCATTTGAGAAATGGAAAATGTTAGATTTATTCAAAAGTACTATTTTACTTATAGAGGGCATAGGAAGATAAATTTCATGGCATGAGTGTGTGTGTGTGTGAGTGGAATTTGAAAATGTAACAGTAGTCTATAGTTTGGCTTACACAAGGCATAATTAGCATGTTTTTCATTGTGTTGTAGTCTATTTAGAGGATTATGCATTTATATAGGACTTTGTATTTGTTAAGAGGTAGGTGGGTTGTATTCATAGTAGTAGGAAAGTTTTCCTAGCTGGGCACAGTGGCTTCATGCCTGCAATCCTAGCACTTTGGGATGCTTAAGAGAGAGGATTGCTTGACTCCAGGAGCTTAGTACCAGGCTGGGCAGTATGGTGAGACCATCTCTACAAAAATATAAAATACAAAAATTAGGTGGGTATAATAGTGCATACCTGTGGTTCCAGCTACTCTGGAGACCAAGGTAGGAGGATTGTCTGAGCCTAGGAGTTTAAGACCAGCCTGGACAACGTGGTGAGACCCTGTCTTTACAAAAGTTTTTAAAAAATTAGCCAAGCATGGCGGTGCATGCCTGTGGTCCCAGCTCCTGGGCATGCTGAAGTAGAAGGATCGCTTGAGTCCAGAAGGTCAAGAGCCAAGGAACTTGAGGCTGCAGAGAGCCATGTTTGTGTCACTGCATTCAAGTTTTCCTTGCTGTAAGAATTAGAACAAGTATTTGTACTTCTGTAAATTTCAGTTTTTAATTAGTGTTTAATGCATCTTCAAATACGCCTTTAAATATTGATATTAATATTGTCTAGTATTCTGTTATACTGCTACAGTTTTCTCATTATTGTTAATAAGACTTCAGACTTTTTATTTGAAGTTGTTTTGTTGCATTTATTATGTTTAGAATATTGGATAGGTTTAGAAAGAAAACAAAGACATTAAATTTACAGTTGCAAGATGCTTGACCAGGCCTGGTGGCTCATGCCTGTAATCCCAGCACTTTGGGAGGCTGAGGCTGGTCGATCACCTGAGGTCAGGAGTTCGAGACCAGCCTGGGCAACCTGGTGAAACCCCATCTCTACTAAAAATAGAAAATCAGCCGGGTGTGGTGGTGGACGCCTGTAATCCCAGCTACTCAGGAGGCTGAGGCAGGAGAATTGCTTGAACGCAGGAGGCAGAGGTTGCCGTGAGTGAGCCGAGATCGTACCACTGCACTCCATCCTGAGCAACAAAAAAAAAAAAAAAAAAAGAAAGAAAGAAAAAGAAAAAAAAGATGTTCTACACAATAGAGTTAAGACTGCTAATTATGAAATCTGCTTTCATCTTTTGGCAGCTTTTGAGAAACTAGGATTAGAGCAGGGAAGTTCCATTTTTTTCCTCAACTTGGCACTGTGTCGCATAGAGGCTATTTTACATAAAATATTATATAATTTGGGATCCTCAGTTTGAAAAGTAGCTTTCATAACAGCTCCTAATTTCTTTCCCTCTATCTCCCAGTTCATGTGTACAGAAAGATTATGACTTTACATTATCTGTAACAAAACTTTCTGTCGAGCATTTATGTTTCACATTAGCTATCATATAATGAAATTATTTACAAGGTAATATTTATTAAAGGCATTTTATGTTACATATAAATAAGAGAACGGGGAAAGATCAACAAAAGCTTTACAGAAGAGATGGAACTGGTGTGGAGGAATGGGTAGCATGTGGATAGACTGAGGTTTGTGTTAGAAGATTGGGGGAGGGAGAGAGAGAGTGAGTGTGTGTGTAGAAAGTATTCTCACCTTTCTGAGAATGGGTGAGGACAGCTACGACAAAATATGGCAGAAGTAATCTCAGTGAACACTGAAACTATATGGAAACGTTTTGACTGGAAAATGAAGGGAGTTAAAAGATAAGATGGGATAGAAAAAATAGGATCAGATTATGAAGCACTTGCAAGGTTAAGTACATGATTTTAGTTAACTTTGATCCAAAGAGTTTTTAAGTACTACTTGTGGTTTCTAAGCGAAAGGAGATGTAATAAATGTGATAATTTTGGAAAATTAGTTTAGTTGTAGTATTATGAATGTGATTGAAGATAAATGGAGCTTGGAGATAGAAAAAACAATTAGGAAACTTATAGTAATTCATAAGATTGAAAGCCTTGATTAAAGTCAATAGAGAGAAAGAGATAAACTTGGAGAATACTTTAAAGGAAGGTTCTTTTTAAAAACAGCCCCCACCTTTTTACAATTTTACAAGTTGAAGAAGAATTTAAATATGGTTGCAAAATTTTAAGAACCAAAATTAAATAAATGGTGGTGGTAGTCATACAGGTGGGAAAGTTACAAAGGGAGCTATTTTGCAAGAAATGATGATGTTTATTTTCTTTTACATTGAATTTAGTTGGTAGTTGGACATCCAGTTGACAGTTTTTTGTTAGAGAATTTGTTTACGGTCATTTCACTGTGGGAGGAAGCCCTCAGATAACACTGAGTTTTTAAATTATTATTATTTAGGAAATTCAGGCTATGTAACATATTCCCCAATCCAGAAGTAGAGTTGTTTAAGCATTTCTAAGAAGTTAGGAATTACTGCAAAATAGGATCGATAAATGTGTAAAAGTCCACCTATTTCCACTAAGTTTTACTATCTAATTGCTTGGCATTTTGTTAAGGATACATAGATGAGTAATAGTTCTTAGAGTTACTTATACTTAAATAGCCACGGTGCACTTAAAAATATATAGCAGTCGAATTCACCCATTAATGTTGTTGTTAGTAAATATAAGGTCATAATGATTGACCTTGGACTTACCTATTTTATTTTTTTTAACCTTATGTAGATTATAAAGCATTGTCTTTTCAAAGTATTTTTTCTGACATTCTTAAAACTTTTCTTTCAAAATATATGATTGAAAATAAATTATTCTGCCATTTCTAAAATTCAAAGTTAAAGAATATTCCACAATACTACAGAGCTTTTGAGTTTCATATATTTTGGCCTGAATTATCCAGGCAACAGCCAAAATTCTTCCCTTATATTTATGGCTCATGACAGTGTTGAATTTTCATATCATTATGAGAAACTCAGAGATCTTATGGATAAATCAGATTTTTCAGATTTGGGAAAAGTGAAAAAAACATTTTGAAAGAAATTTGGGTTGATTTGTTAATGACAAATTTGGGCTAACATGGCAGGAAAATATCCATGGAAACACCAGGTAAAGTTAATTGTTTGTTGCACCCTCATAAAAACTATTTTTGCTTATTCCTTTGTTAACATTTTTAAACAGTGAATTATGTTGATAAGCCCTTGTTTTATTCTTTACACTGGTAAATGTTAACCTTAAACACCAAAATTTTCCTTTGTTTTAATGATACCTTCCATGTCTGTGAGCTTACAGAACGTTAAAGAACTCTCTGTAGTCTATGGAGATATATGTATGTAATATATGTGTATCGTTAGAGAGAGACATATGTCTCCACAGAAATAGTGAATATTGAAAATATTTAAACTCAGTGTGTTTTGGGGGATGGTATGGAAAATGGAAGACATCTTTAATTTTTCTGGTGTTTTAATAACTGGGACTTCTTGATAGTCTGTTTTGTTAATAAATTGGTTTTAAAGGCTGCTGGCAAGTCAAGCGGTAGCCATTAAATGAACCTCTACTGCTGACATTAATTTACAGGGGCCAACAGGACAAAACTCTACGACATGATAGCTGATCTGGGAGATGATGAGCTGCCCCACATCCCTTCAGGAATCATTAATCAGTCTAGGTCAGCCTCTACTAGAATGACTGATCATGAAGGTGCAAGAGCAGAGGAAGGTACAAAATTTAGCTACCATGTTTATTTACATTGCAGAAGACCTTAAATCCAGATCACATCTTAATATTGCAACTAGGCTACTGTTTAAAATGCTGATGATCATTTTATATGATCTTTAGAGAAGGTGTTGGGCAAGCTCTTGATATAATTGTTTAGGGATTTTGAAATTTCTGGCTTCTATTTCTTTATATTTTGTTTCTATTTTTAATGTGAGCAGGAGTTGTTTCCATCACAGGTAAATTCAGAGCACTTTCTTAAATGTAATTTTAGCTACAGATCTAGTAACGGGAAAATAATTTACAAAAACAAACTTAAAATAATACATATGGAAAAACAACTCATTTTATCTTACTGCTTAAATTTAGCAACTAATAATAATTACCACTTACTAGATGACAACTATGGTGCCAGGCATTGTGCTTGAATTTTTTTTTTTTTTTT